CTCCTGCCTCAACCTCCTGAGTAGCTAGGATTACAGGCACGTGCCACCATGCCCAGCTGATTTTTTGTATTTTTAGTAGAGACAGGGTTTCACCATGTTGACCAGGATGGTCTCGATCTTGACCTTGTGATCCACCCGCCTCGGCCTCCCAAAGTGCTGGGATTACAGGCTTGAGCCACCGCACCCGGCCTTCCTGGTGATAACTCTTATCACTTGATTAAGATGTCTCAGCTGGGCGTGGTGGCTCATGCCTGTAATCTCAGCACTTGAGGTCAGGCGTATCACCTGAGGTCAGGAATTTGAGACCAGTCTGGCCAATATGGAGAAACCCTGTCTCTACTAAAAATACAAAATTAGCCAGGTATGGTGGCACATGCCCATAATCCCTGCTACTTGGGAGGCAGAGGCAGGAGAATTGCTTGAATCGGGAGGCAGAGGTTGCTGTAAGCTGAGATCTCACCACTGCACTCCAGCCTTGCCAACAAGAGCAAAACTCCATCTCAAAAAAAAAAAAAAAGATATGTCTGCTATGTTTAATCACTGTAAAGTCATGATTTTATACTTGTTAATAAGTTATTCATATAATCATTTTACTGTAAGGTAGAGATTTTTCTTTTCCCCCACTATTCAAATTGGTAAGGACTAACAGATTCTTATTTGTATCCAGGGAGTTGAAACCCATTATTCATAATTATTATTTATTTTGATGCTCAGATTGTTCCAGATAAAGCAAGTGGGACCACCTTTAATCCAGCTTCTGGATCCTTTAGACACAACATCATCCCTCGAGCACTTCTTACTTTCTGGAATACCAAGATGCTCCAAGTTTATTTTGCACCGTCTCTACTCCAGTTCTGAAATCAGTCGTTTTTCCTTGGAGCCCTGGTACCTTTTAGTGGAGAGTGGTATTCAGAAACCAAGATACGGCTTAGTGGCGGAGGTGTGCCCATTGCTACTGGGTATCATTACTGCTAGGCCTTCCTAGAGGGTAGAGCTCATAGATGTATGCATGTATATGCCTCGCACATGCGCACACACACACCCTCCTGTATTTATTTCAATATATATCTACATATGTTAAAAACCACAAGTTCATCCAGATACCTCCAATTTCAATCCAGCACCACAGGGTTTACTCTAGTTTTCTCCCTTTCCATCTTTGTAAGCCTGGCTCCCATTTTCTTCAGCATGTTTACATGTTGGTTTAATCCCCTTATATGTAAGTAAGTAATCTCCAGCCATGCCAGCCAACCACTCCTCAGCTTTGTGGTGACCTCGTGGGCCACCGTGTGGCTGAGAGGGAGAGGCAAAGCTTTTTAGGCTTTGACTTGGTGATTCCATGGGACTGTTGTGGGCCCTTTGATGCTTTGAAGAATTTTTTTTTTTTTTTTTTTTTTAAAGACAGGGTTTCACCATGTTGGTCAGGCTGGTCTTGAACTCCCGACCCCAGGTGATCCACTCGCCTTGGCCTCCAAAATGCTTGGATTACAGGCGTGAGCCACTACATCCAGCCACTTTGAAGAATCTTTTACACTTCACCCATTTTTAGTTGTTTTCACCTAGAGGGCTGGCCAGGATGCAATTGCCTGTAGTATTCTCATAAGTTAAACAAAATATACTTTTATGTGTTTGATGAAAAGAACAAAATGGAAAATTGAAAAGTACTACTTTGGGTGTTGTTGCCTGGCTTCATTGAAATCTTGCCTGGGTCTTTTTTTTTTTTGAGACAGATTTTCGCTCTTTGCCCAGGCTGGAGTGCAATGGTGCGATCTCAGCTCACTGCAAACTCCACCTCCCGGGTTCAAGCGATTCTCCTTCCTCAGCCTCCTGAGTAGCTGGGATTACAGGCCTGTACCACCACACCCGGCTAATTTTTGTATTTTTAGTAGAGATGAAGTTTTATCACGTTGGCCAGGCTGGTCTGGAACCTCAGGGGATCCGCCCACCTCGACCTCCCAAAGTGCTGCGAGAGAAGCTCAAGAGAGAATGATGTGTGGTTTCCTGGCCAGCTGCTTCATGACCAAATAGCAAGGAATGCCAAACACCCAGCCTAGAATAGGAGGATGACCCCACCCCTGCTCAGCTGGCACCACGTAACAGGGTTCCGCAAGGCTGCGCTGAGTTTCCAAGTTTCAAATCCTGTTAGGCAGGGCTCTTCTGGCCGTGTGGGACAGGATTCAAACAACATTTTTTCAGCCAAAAGGGGGATTGATTGGAAAGACGTGGGCATGACACAGAACAGCCTGGTATCGGGAAAGGCCAGAGTAAGCTGGGGTTTCCTCCCTAGTCTTTACTCTCCCCACCTCTTTTCTTTTCTTTTTTGAAACAGAGTCTCGCTCTGTCACCCAGGCTGGAGTGCAATGGTTGGATCTTGGCTCACTGCAACGTCTGCCTCCTGGGTTCAAGCGATTCTCCTGCCTTAGCCTCCTCAGTAGCTGGCATCACAGGTGCCCACAACCATACCTGGCTAATTTTTGTACTTTTAGTAGAGACAGACAGGGTTTCACCATATTGGCCAAGCTGGTCCCGAACTCCTGACCTTGTGATCCAGCCTCCCAAAGTGCTGGGATTACAGGCATGAGCCACTGTGCCCAGCCTTGTACTTTTAATAGAGACGGAGTTTCACCATGTTGGCCAGGCTGGTCTCAAATTCCTGACTTTAGGTGATTCACCCGCCTTGGCCTCCCAAAGTGTTGGGATTACAAGCATGATCTCACTGCGTCCTGCCTCCACCTCTTTTCTTGTGGGTTTCTTTCTCTCTCTGCAGGCCCCACAGAGTCGCCTGGGCTGGAGGCCTCATAGAGGTGCCCTCAGTGCTAACCACACATTGCAGTCCCCTGAGAAGCTACATGACCTCAGATGCCCAGGTCCACCCGGACCAGTGAAGTCAGGATGTCTGGGGTTGGAGCCTGGGCATTGCGCCCCCTAGTGACTCGAATGTGCACACAGGTTTGGGAACCACTACATTATAGCTTCAGGCACCCAGAGGAGAAATTCTTGGCATTCTCATTCATGATTAGAGGGGCAGGACTCTGGGGAACCTATTTAGGCCAGGTAGCCACACCCTCCAACCACAGGTTGGACAAGCCCCTGCAGCACCCCGATGGGTGTGCGCACTGGCCAGGCCAAGCTCCAAGGGGTCAGTCCCCCAGCAGCTGCCTGCCATTTGTGTCACTCCTCCCACCCCTGCCCTCAGCTGCAGTATACATCGAAGTCGTCTCAGCTGACTTGGTTTCCATCACTTTCTCTCTCAGAGATCAACTCGAAGGAGAAGCTGACCTGCATTCTTGAGATCTGGGGAGTTAATGGGAGATGTGGTCACAAGACAGGTGGTGGAGGGGACCAGAATGGAGCTGGCCGAGCAAGGTGCCTGGCAGGGAAAGGGAGGCTCAGTGATGGATGCTCTCTCTCACCAGAAGCCTACCATGCAGTGGCCAGGGAGACTCAGAGTCCCGGAAGAGGGTTTGGGGTGGGAGAAGCCTGAGCATGAGGGGTGGGGCTGGCACACTCTGGTTCCGGGAGGTGTTGGCCAAAGGACTGTGGCCTTGGGACTGATCGGGGCTGGTTTCCCTACATTCCTCTCAGGCCCTTCCCCCTCTATACCAAGCAGGGATGGCACCTGGACTTCAAGACCAAAAGCCCTTCTAGCTTTGACTGCACTGCTAGGTGCAGCACACAGCTCCAGCCACAGTCTCGGGGCAGCCTAAGGCTGCCCCTCCCCACTCTGGTTCTAGGGCAAAGATCTTGGCCCTTAGCTGAGCTGGAGAGGAGGAGTGGCAGGTGTGGAAACGAGGGGCAGGACTGGGGTGAGCAGAGCTGGGGGCTGCAGAGCTTGCTCAGGACAGTCCTAATGCCTGCAAGGTCCTAATGCCTGCCCTGCATTCCCTCTTCTATGTGGGGGGCTCCTACACTGTGTCCCCTCACCTACCTCTGATCCCCAGCATCCAGCTGGAGAGCCTTCTAGGAATTGTCCCTTCCCTTAGGAGGGCTCTCAGGGGTGGACCAGGTTAACAGGGGCAGGGTTTGTTACCTTGGGGCCTATGTCCACACCAGGGGCTCCCCGACCCTGGGGCCTGCTTCCAGAGCTGGGCCAACCTCAAGGGCAGCCTCCAGGGTGGGTGGGGTCTCCCATCAAGGAGGACCTTGTGCCAAGGCCAAGGCCAGGTTTGGGAGTGGGGTCCCTAGGAAAGGGGTAGGAGCCCTGAATTATTTCCTGCTCAGGTGGAACCCACCCTGGCCTGGTGTCTCCTCATCTTTCTGCCCAAGAGCCCCAGGGGTCAGCACTGACCACTGACCCAGGACCCGCCCAAGCCATGCTGAGGACAGACGAAATGACACCATGATTGGGGCTGGATGTTCACTTCTGTTTTCAAAAAATATGAAACACACAGTCTAGGTATGGCAAAGGACAGAGCCTGGTTGGGGACTGGACATTACACACCCAGGGGGCCCTTGGCGGAGGCGGGCAATTTAACAACTGGTCTGAAAGTCAAAAAAGAGAGAGCTGGTTAGTGGATAGCTGTGGGGGTGGGGGCAGGGGCTGTGCATTCAGGCCTGGACACAGCGGCTGGCCAGCGCGGCCAGACCTTGGGTCTCACAGCAGCCCTGCCTAGGACCCATTCCCAGGGGTGGGGGCGCCGTGGTCCTACCTAGCCATCTGTGTGGGTGGCCCCCGGCGCTGGGCACACTGGAAGAACCTGAGACCTGAACTCAGACCCTCCCTGTACCCGTGTGAACATTCAGCATCCCGGCACTGCCCTGTGGGGTTGCAGTGAGGAGCCCTTGGGATTGGGATGAAGGGTTCTGCTCACCCCAAGGACCTGGGTACTAAGGGTGTCTTGGCTACTGCTGTATCTCCAGGGCCTAGCACAGAGCAGACATCCACGCAGCTCTTCAGTGAGTAAACAAAGGAGCAGGTGAAAAGGTGGCAGCTGGGCTGGTGCCTGAGGGTCTGTCCCCAGGGACACATGCTGGTGCCCACGAGGCTGTGCAGACAGCAACATGCCTGGACCTGCATCTCTGTGTGTGTGCCTGGGGGCTGGGTCCTGCCTCTGGCCTTTCTCTGAGGTTCTGGGTCTCAGATTGTAGGGTAGGTGCTTGTGTTGAGGACAAGCTTCTCAGAGCACCAGACTGAGCTCTGGGGACATCCTGTGCTTTACTGGCCCTGCCCTGGGTGCTGCGAGGCTGGTTGGAGGCTGGGCGAGGGGGCCGCTGGGCGGGGGGCTGGCCAGGGCAGGCGGAGCTCAGACGTACTCTCGGGCAGCAGTGGAGGGTCCGGGCCGGTAGGGCTGCGGGCTGCTGTTGGGTCTCTCTGGCTCCGGGCACGTGCAGCAGAGGAAGGAGCCCCCCAGCACGGCCAGGCCAGCTGAGGCCCAGCCCACAAACAGGGCTGGACCAAATTCATACCTGCAAGGGGTAGGGAGAATGGCATCAGGTGTGGCTGCTGTCTCAGGGTGTCCCCAGCCCCTGCCCTGGCAGCGGAAGGGCAGAGTGTGTGGAGCTGGAGGCTGGGGCCTCACAACCTCCTCCATCTCTCCAGATAAACTGGGGTGAATGCGCTTCCTTTCTCCCTCCCCCCAGCCCAGAATATCAACACCACACTGAGTGAGCCAGGACCAAGCTGGGCATGAAGGCTGGAGGCTTGGCCTCATGCTTGTGCTCTGAGCAGCCAAGGCTCATTTCCTGATCCCGCCAGTGGAGGGGGCATGGGAGGGCCTGAGAGGGCTGCCCTGGAGGAGCGGAGCAATCCCTGCCGTCTTTTTTCCCAGTCACAGTCTGGCCCCCCCGAACTCCCAGCCAGGAGGGCTCGCGCTGCCCTTGGGAGAAGCCCACACCCCTCCACCTGGTGCTCTGGCCTCTCCACACCCAGGCTCTGCTGGCCTGTCCAGCCCCGCTCCTGGTCTCACTGTCTCGGTGCCTTTGCACACGGCACCCTCTGCTGGGCACTAAGCCTGCCACTCCCTATGCCTTCCCAGCTCCTTCTCTGCCTTCAGTTCAGAGGCCACCTCCTCATGGGGGCTTTCCTTGACATCCTCTCTGTGTTCACCCCGCCCCCTGTGCCGACCCCACTGCCACACTCTCTCCAGGAGGCCTCAGCCCCTTGCCCTGGGAAGTCCCCTGAGGGCACACAGAGCATGGGATTCATCAGTGTCCCCAGGACCCAGCACAGGGCCTGTCACCCCCTGAGTGGCCTTGGGGACTGTTGAAGGGATGGGGGGCTGAGTCCTGTCCTGACATGCCTGAGCTGGACCTTGCCTGGCGGACTTTGTGGCTGTAGCTGCCTGCCCAGGGAACAAACTTTGTACCTGAGGTCTCCTCCTTCCCCTCCCCTCTCCATACATCTGCCTCCTCCAGGGAGCTCTCGCAATTGCAACAGCCCAGGCATCTGTTCTCATCCTCTTTCCACCCCAGGGCCCAAAGCCCACTGGGACATCTGGGTTTGAGGCTGTTCCATTCTCTGCTTCTGGCTGGGTTGAGAGGTGAGGGAGGAGCCAAGGTGGGCCCAGGCCTTTTGCAGAGCCTCCTCTTCAACTCCTGTGCCCACAGCCTTGCAAGTCCTGGTCATCTAGCTCCTGAATAGCAGCCTGCTTTCCACTGCTCCCTCCCTAGTGCCCCAAACCCTCTGCTTAGACCTTCAGGACAGCCGCATTCCTGTGTCACCCCCTCCCCACCATTCTGCACATCACAGCCAGAGGGACTGCCACTGCCTCCGCCCGGATGAGGAACAAAATCTTCCTATGGCTGCAAGGACCTCTACAATCTGCCCTTATTCTCAGGTTTCTTCCTGGCCCAGAGTAACTGCTGCCTCCTGCAGGAAGTCATTTCAGCTCTGCTGCCACCAGCAGAAATAAAAACAGCTCAGGCTTGCTAGGCACTGTCCAGGGCCGAGACACTGTGCCACACCCTCACCTGCATCTTGCTGGATGCTTGTGTTGAGGACAAGCTGCTCAGACCACCAGACTGAGCTCTGGGGATATCCTGTGCCCTACTGGCCCTGCCCTGGGTGCTGTGAGGCTGGCTGGATGCTGGGCAAGGGGGCCCCTGGGCGGGGGGCTGGCCATGTGTGAACTGGTGCTCAGGCTCTAGCTCCATGTTACAGAGGAGGAAACTAGGCACAGAAGGATTGAGTAACTTGCCCAGGTGACGCAGTGCACGCAGAGCTGGGATGGATGGATTGATTTTTTTGAGACAGAGTCTCACTCTGTCACCCAGACTGGAGTGCAGTGGTGCGATCTTGGCTCACTGCAACCTCCGCCTCCTGGGTTCAAGCTATTCTCCTGCCTCAGCCTCCCAAGTAGCTGGGATTACAGGCACCCATCACCAATCCCAGCTAATTTTTGACTTTTTGGTAGAGATGGGGTTTTACCATGTTGGCCAGGGTGGTCTCAAACTCCTGACCTCAGGTAATCTGCTCGCTTCAGCCTCCAAAAGTGCTGGGATTATAGGTGTGAGCCACTGCATCCATCCAAAGCTGGGATTGAAACCCAGAGCCAGGAGACCTAGGTCCTTAGAGAGTCCTTGCTGCACCTGGGAGCCTGCTGCAGGCCTCCTGCCCCTGTGGAGGGCCCCACCACACTCCACCTGGCTCCCCTCTTTAGAGCTTCTTGGACAGCAGCTGGATCCCATCCCCCTCTTCCTCCTCCAGGTGATCCAGTGGACAAAGCTCAGTGGCCCCAGAGGAGGTGAAGCAAGAGACCCAAGCCCTGACACCCACCTGGCATTGACAGGTGTGCTTGGGTTGAAGAACTCCTGGGTCACCAGGGTGGCATACCATGAGACGGCAGTCAAAGTGCAGAGGCCTAAGGACAAAGCAGAGGGGCACTCAGCTCTGCTCTGCAACCCTCCCACCCTGAGGCCACTGGTGCTGGGGCTGCCTGCTGTGGCTGGGATTGCGGAGGAGGGAGGGGCACTCACCTGCCAGGATGAAGAGAGCACCCCCGGAGATGGCGACACGGCCCTTGGCGATGGGGTTGCTGTCTCCCACCCGTGTGCACTTCATGCCAACCACACTGAGGACCATGGCCACGAAGCCCAGGAGCACGGCCACCACCATTAGGGCCCGCGCTGACTGGATGTGACCTAGGGCAGGCAGGGTGGCACTGAGTGGGGCTGGTGGGGATGGGGGCTGGGTTGGTGCCTGGAAGGAGCCCAGCTTGAGAGGGAGCTGGCCTGGGGGTCAGACCGCCTGCTGGCAGGTGCGGGATAGTGCGGAGGGACAGCCCAGGCGTGAGGACAGGGCATGGGGGTGAGAGTCCCTTTCACTGTCAACACCGTTCTCCACTTGACCTTGCAGACTTTTCTGGTAGTTTGATTCTGCTGCTGCTTTCTGGCCTGGGGACTCCCTTTTGGGCTTGGCCCACCCTCCTAAGCAGTGGAGGGCAACTCCTCCAGGGGCCCCCAGAAGGAACAGCTGAGGGTATCTGGGGCCCAGCTCAACCCAGCCTGAGCCCCGCAGCAACTCCTCCCCAGCAGCCATTCAGACAACAGTCACCTTCCCCTCTGTCCATGGCAGCTGGAAGCTTGCCTCTCCATAGGTGCATGGGTCAGTCCTGGGCCCTGGGGGGCGCTTAGGAGACCTGGGTCCTTCAGCAAGGCTAGATGATGACCTGCCTGAACCGGCACAGTGGGGCTGATTGATGGCCATGGGGAGCAGATTGCCCCTAGGGGGTCCTAGGCAGATTGCGGTGGGCCACCTCCACTCCAGAGTTAGAGCTGTAGCAGTCCCCACACCCCAGAAGGAGAGGGACGGCATGCAGATGCACCTGTCTGTGCATGTGCGTGTGTGTGCAGGCATGTGCATGTGTGTGTGTGCACCCATATGCTGGCATACTACCCTGGGCGGCAGGAGTGCACGCAGTGTGTGTCTACTGAGTATGGGGGAAAGTGGATGAAGGGTCTTCACTGAGCCTTTCAGAGTGCCACAGGTATTAGTATTCCCCTTGAGAGATGAGAACATCACAATGCCAAGAGGGTTGGTGACTGGTTCAAGGTTATGGTGGCAGAGCCGGGATCCGGACCCACAGCTTCCACACCCTAGAGCCCTCCCCTCCCACAGGGCAGCAGGCTGGCCTGGACTGTCGGATGGGCACAGGGCAGTAGTGGGGGATTGTGGAGGATGGAGCCCAGCACAGACAGCAGACTGCGAGGAAAGCTTGCTCCAGAACCCCCTGCTGTTCCCACCTCCCACCCCACTGGCCTGAGGCCTACCGTCCAGGGCGAGCAGCGAGTCGTAGAGCTTGCACTGCACCTGCCCGGTGCTCTGGGAGGCGCAGGACATCCAGAGCCCTTCATAGAGGCCCACGGCGGTGATGATGGCGTCGCCTGCGTAGGAAGACTGCTTCCACTGTGGCAGGGCCGTGCTAGCGATGATGCCCACCCAGCCACCCAGGGCCAAGAAGTAGCCCAGGAGCTGGAGGCCTGAGTTGGCCATGACCCAGGGGAGGGGACCAAGGGTCCCGGGACTCAGAGCTGGGCCAGGGTCCCAGCAGGGGCTGTGGTCATGGCCAGGTGGGAGGAGCAGTTGGACAGAGGGAGCGGCGAGGAGGAGGATCAGAGGCAGGGAAGGAGAGGTGATGGGTCGGCGAGAAGGAGGGTCAGAGGCAGGGAAGGAGAGGTGATGGG